ACACATTCTTCATCGTCAGTGCTCCTGTTATCAGTGCTTCCGCCATCGTTTTTCTTGCAGGCCAAAGCCAATAGGCCCATAACCTCCTGTATTAGTACCTTTTTGTCCGTACAGCAGAACATACAAAGCCAATGCGAGTTAGGCTTCGAGCATCTTTTGTAAGCCGTCGGACTTAGTCGTGTACACAATTTGTGATACCACATTTTACAGTCGTCACACTGCATTCCCTCCTCATCGGAGAACAAACGAGTTGGTTGCTTACATTTGTGAGTCTTACCAACCATTGTAATTCGATTTAAAAGGTTTAAAAACAAAAAATGATAACAATCTCAACACAAGTGTTAGTCAAGGACTAAAGACAGGTACTCAGGACAAAATGTAGTAAAAAATTTCAAACTTTAACCAAGAACTCTTAGTTAAAGTAGACCAAGAATGCTTTTTAGTGCAATAAGTACCAAAAGCAAGTATAATAACAAGTACAAAAATCATTGCCCTTTTTGAAACTAGCGCTCAGTGGTGTGTTAGATTATTTGTTCAGACAAACAAAGCCTCTTAACACTCAATAAAAATATTAGGAAATATAACGCCGATGGGAAAAAAAGTGAATGAATACCTGAAATATAATTTTTTGACATATACTTAGCTGTTTGAGGTGAACTCTTAAACAACCAACCTAAGTTGTTACACGGATCCCTGATGTCGTAAGCTCATGTTTGTTATTTAGACAGAAAGCTCGAAGCCAATACTTATTACACAACACCAATAAAATGGAGCAAAACCAACCGACTGAAACTTGATTTCAGTTTACCATATAAAAAAATATGTACTACACTTAATAAAAGAAGAGTAGGGGAAAAACAAATAAAACAAGCGGTTTGTGCATCTCTGTTAACTTGTTTCCAGAGCAAACAAAATAAATATTACCGAGCCACAAATGAGTCGGTTTTTTAATTAAACCTGATTATTTCGAACCAGATATCCGTAAGACTTTCTACCCAACCAGCCATGATGCATCAGACCTCAATCTAACATGAATATTCACCACTTGGAGTTGACCCCTACAAATTTCCCGCTCTCCCAATCGGCAATGTATTTTATAGCTACTAGAAAACAGGGCTTTGATACACTATTAACCTTGTCAAAAACTACCGACGACTTCGAACCCCAGTTGAGTGTGAGTGTCGAAAACATAGAGTACAAATTCCAAACAAAATATACTTAATGAAGAATAGGAGTGATCAGTTTCAAAATGCCAAATAACGGCGATAATTAAGTTGGGGATCTTACTATCGTAAGATTTGGTAGATATAACTGGCCTAAACGTCATGAGTTTGGTAGTTAATAGGTAAACATTGATAGTTCACGATATGATGCTGATCCAATATAAGAAAAAATATCCCAACTATTGAAAACATCAATGGAAGTTAATTCTCAGTACTAAAATCACTGTTATAATCTTATATTTGAGCGAGTATCACATTACCAGGCAGGAGGTTGGTTCGTTGTAATATGGAAACATCAAAGTGATAACTATGGTACTAAGAGATTATTGTTTCAAGACTAAATACTTAGTTTACTTGATTGATAATTTGTAAAAAACGCAGTCAAAGCGATTGTAGGAGAGCGGAGATTATAATAAAGGAGATAGGAAGTAGCTACTGGTTATGAGCTAATGATAGCCGTGGTAATTTACCAGATATGCACCAGGCATAACTAGTCCAAGGGGGGTGGCAATCCACAGGCCAGTACATGTTTGCTAAGGCTTCTCTAAAAAGTATACGATTTAAGTGGCTTGTTTCGGTCAAATGATTGGACCTATCGACTTTAGTTATCCGACCTACCAGTCAAGGTCACTGGGCATTGGTGGAATAATAGAACATTTTAGATATGTCCGCAGGCTACGATGAACTCTGCTTCATTCATACAAGTTAACCTTCTGGCAGCACATTATTCTCAGACATTTCAACCGGCCGACATCAACTTTACTGACGACAGTCTCATCTGCAATTCCACAGGACTTTCCGAAGTAGACCTAAGCGCTGACTTGGTGTTCCGGAAATTGCAGCACTTAAGACTAGATACTTCTCCTGGCCCGGATATGGTTCATTCTGCCATACTGAGGGAGGCAGCCTCAATCCTGGCAACGCCGCTTAGCGTGATGTTTTCTCACTCGCTTAGCCGAGGCAAATTACCGGAAAATTGGAAGTTGGCTCACATCACACCAATTTTCAAAGGTGGTCGACGCAATGAACCTTCAAGTTATCGGCCGGTGGCTCTTCTGTCATTACCTTCAAAACTCATGGAGTCCCTGATATGCGACGGTTTAAATGACTATCTACTGTCCTTAAATTTCTTCTCACCCCAACAGCATGGTTTCAGGAAGGGTTACTCTTGTATAACCAACCTGCTGACTGCGGTGGACAGATGGACAAGCATCCTCGATTGCAAGGGAAAGGTTGATATCATTTACCTTGATTTCTCAAAAGCTTTTGATAAGGTTAACCACTTGTGTCTTATCAACAAGCTCAAACGACTAGGTATCAAACCACCCTAATCGATTGGCTTACTTCATACCTAAAAAATCGACACTTTAAGGTTAGGGTTAATTTCACTTTATCTCAGGCTATGGAATGTCCTAGTGGGGTCCCCCAGAGCTCAGTACTAGGGCCTCTTCTCTTCTTGATCTACATAAATGATCTTCCTCAACAGGTAACGTCAGATTTATTACTTTTTGCCGACGACGTGAAACTTTGGAGAGAGATACGCAACCAAGACGATACACAGGCACTTCAGGAGAATCTGACTCGACTTCAAAGTTGGGCAGACGATAACGGACTTACCTTTAACACTTCACAGTGTAAAGTAGTCCATCTGCGACATGTTGCAAACTACAGTTACAACTTAGGAAACTCCTCTCTAGTAGTATCCCAAGTCGAAAAAGATTTAGGAGTCCTGGTGCCCCATGATTTGAAGTCTTACGCCAACTGTGACAAAAATGCCTTCCGAGCAAACCTTGCACTGGTAACGTTGAGGCGCATTTTTGGCCAGTTTGACGGAAGAACTTTCCACACAATCTTCAATAGTTTCATCCGTCCCCATTTAGAGTACGGAAACATAGTACTCCCCCCTCACTCCAAAAGGACAAGGTCACTTTGGAGCGTATCCAGCGGCGAGCCACGAAATCAGTTCGAGGACTCAAATCTAAGCCTTACGAAGAACGCCTCCGTTCACTAGACCTTTACCCATTAGAATATAGGCGTCTTAGAGGTGATTTATTAATGGCTTATAGTATTCTTAACACTTCTGGACATCCTCTTAAACACCTACTTAAGCTTAGTTCGAATAACAACCTAAGGGGTAACACCCAGAAACTGGAGACACAACATAGCAAAGCGGAATGTAGACACAATTTCTACTCCTTAGGAGTTGTCAAAGGCTCGAATTCGCTGCCGGCCGAGCTAGTCCAAGCGACTTCTTAGGAGTCCTTCAAGAGGCAACTTGACCTATTCTTAAGGGCCAAGGACAGAACCACACTATGATTTACTAATTTCTTTTCCTCTTTTATTGTTAACATACCTAGGTTCCTGCCTGGAGGATTTGGTGATCCCCTGCTACTGGACACGGAAGCCTGTTGAGCAAAAGCTTCTTCTATTCCGTCGACAACCATTTGAAACTTTGAATTATTTAGTCTTGAAACAATAATCTCTTAGTACCAGAGTTATCACTTTGCTGTTTCCATATTACAACGAACCAACTTCCTGCCTGGTAATGTGATATCTGATAGTATTCAGAATCCCTACTATCTTGAGACAAACGTACTCACACTACCGTAAAATCCATAAATAACTATCACCTGAATAAGTGCAGTCGAATATCAAACCAACTGCCTACTGGAAACTACCATATATCTGGAACGATACTAAAACAATAAGAAGTGAGAGCAAAGAAAACAATTATTCTATACAAGCTAGTGCTAAGATATTGGATACTGTACATATTTAAATTATTGCCTCGATTTCGGTCTGTAGGCGTTCTTTCAAAAAGCGAGTTTGCTTGTTTTTCAGTCAGGTGTTTAGTACGACGTATTCGATTTCTTATCGGCCTTCTCTCAGTGATTTATTAATTATTTCTTGTATCCTTTATACGATTTTAGGGCAGCTGTGTTGTGACAAACTAGTACACTCTTACACACATAATGACTTAACCAGTCTAAGATGTTGGTACTAAGAATTAACTTCCATTGATGTTTTCAATAGTTGGGATATTTTTTCTTATATTGGATCAGCATCATATCGTGAACTATCAATGTTTACCTATTAACTACCAAACTCATGACGTTTAGGCCAGTTATATCTACCAAATCTTACGATAGTAAGATCCCCAACTTAATTATCGCCGTTATTTGGCATTTTGAAACTGATCACTCCTATTCTTCATTAAGTATATTTTGTTTGGAATTTGTACTCTATGTTTTCGACACTCACACTCAACTGGGGTTCGAAGTCGTCGGTAGTTTTTGACAAGGTTAATAGTGTATCAAAGCCCTGTTTTCTAGTAGCTATAAAATACATTGCCGATTGGGAGAGCGGGAAATTTGTAGGGGTCAACTCCAAGTGGTGAATATTCATGTTAGATTGAGGTCTGATGCATCATGGCTGGTTGGGTAGAAAGTCTTACGGATATCTGGTTCGAAATAATCAGGTTTAATTAAAAAACCGACTCATTTGTGGCTCGGTAATATTTATTTTGTTTGCTCTGGAAACAAGTTAACAGAGATGCACAAACCGCTTGTTTTATTTGTTTTTCCCCTACTCTTCTTTTATTAAGTGTAGTACATATTTTTTTATATGGTAAACTGAAATCAAGTTTCAGTCGGTTGGTTTCGCTCCATTTTATTGGTGTTGTGTAATAAGTATTGGCTTCGAGCTTTCTGTCTAAATAACAAACATGAGCTTACGATATCAGGAATTCTTATGGTTTTATGGTATTTCAAATTCTAGATGACTGAAAGTCGTTTTCCGACTGATAAAAGAATTGTATACATCTCTCCTAAAGAGCTTTCCAGTCTGCCAACAGATGGACCGATTTATGTACTATCAACTACAAAAAACCCAGAACACAACGATGTAGCAAATTGTAGTTCAACTGAACTTGGTGCATCTAGCCAGGATTCATCTTCGATCACTTGTTCAACGTTTGGTTCAACTTCAACTTCATCTACCAACAGTGCAAATTATTTTAATAACACATTAGTTCCATATTCATTCCCTTATCACGCTAACATTCCATATCCTACTCCTGTGGTTTCAACAAATTTAATTCTTCCTTATGGATTCTGCCCTCCTTTTCAACTTCCACCTTTTGTCGGTTCACAACCAGTTTCATGGGTAACACCTGCTTTCCCAAACCACACTTTATATCCCCCAAGTACCAATTTATTTCCAGCATCTGGTCAGTACATTCACCCCTACCAAAATCCCCCTACTTTCCAACAGAATGTCCCACCAAATTCATACTTTCAAACATTCAATCCGCACAAACCACCTCCGTCTTTTAGTTTACCTCAGGTAACTTCGAAGTCCAGCAACGCCGTTCTCATTCATAATTCTGCTACAGTTGTTACTACTAATAATACCGTTACATGTGTCGCGAGTACTATGAATACCAACAATACCAAACATTCTTGTTCATTCAATCGATCAAACGGAGAAAATGGGTATGCGCGTCTATCTTATTTTAAATAAAAATTTTACTATGCTACTAGATATTACCAAGCAACTGACTAGTTATTTACTTGGCTTAGTTATATATGACAACCCTTTCTCCAAAACCTATTGCCTGTTTAACCTGGTGCTCTTTTGTTGACGTAAGATAAAATCATAAGTGAGATTTGTCTCAATATTGTAAGAAGAGGAACTGGATTGTAACTCAGTCATATGTACTTCTAACTATTTCGAAATATATTCCCGTCCTATTTTATTTTATGCAGTCTGTTAGTATCACTAATGTCTTATTTATTTTATCTGAACACAAGTATTGATACAAAGGGGCGCCGAATACATGTGCGCTACACAAGTCACTTGGTTTGTGTGTGCTGTGATAATGCCCGGGCGCCCAGACCGAAGCAGGTAGTTCTCTTAGGGGGCCACACCCAGAGCCTTCGACTTAAGGATCTGGTTCACAAGCCAGTGGAGCAACGTCAGGAGATGCATTCCCATGGTGGCCGGTGACTAATGATTGGTTCGTACTCCATTTGTTCTCTCAGGATACTGGAGCCAGCCCTTGTGCACCATTGGTTTGGTATGAGGGTTTCCCAACTTCCCTAGGTAGACCCTCCGTGTTCATGAACCCAGTTAAAGCGCTAGACATTCGCTTTCGTCCTCTCACTTTCGTAAATGACACCGCCACGAAAAGGCAGTGAGTAATACTTTTCTTGCAGTAGCTGTATACACGTAGCCATGTAAGGGTATTTCGAGAGGGAGAGCTAACCCTACCCACCCTCGACCGTACCGGGGCATTTGGGGTCTATTAAAAGTATGGGGGTCATAATCTATTTCTCGTGGCTGTACGAGATTAATATGCTTTATTCCTTAATCTGGAAGGCAAAATGTCATGATTAGTGCTATTTGGTAACAAAACGTCTTCCAGTATATTGTAATTAGCTACTATTAAAAATTATTCATTTTTATTTTGTCAAAATAAAATCAAAAACAATAATATTTCATTCTCACGCTCGCATTTTGAGAGTTTTGTAAGTTGTTCAACTACCTTTTGAAATACCAGTTAAAAAGTTACTTGACTTTTTTTCCTAAATTTTTCTTTGCCTTCTACTTTCTTGTCTTTCAACAGATTTTCGGAACCGAATAACTCTAAAAGTGAATCAACGTCATCAAAACAATCGCATCCTCTACGATACACCAAACTGATCTACGCTTCGGAACTTGATTACTTTGCTTTTGACAGTAGTGTAAGTAATTTTTTTTATTCCTTAGTAAGACAGTAAATTGTCAAGTAGGATGCATTTTTTATGCTCATTTTCGTGGTAATACATACTGCTGTTTTATAAATTAGTCACTAAAAGGTGAGCAATGCCGTTTTTAAATTCTTTGTGTCGTACGAATTTCAATAAACAAATAACTCAATATGTTTACTTGAATGTGTAGCATAATAGTGCAATGTTCTGAAGTATACGCTGTATATTTAAAGGTAACTTGTATAGTCTCAAATCTAGCTCTCGTGCTTCCTTTCGTCACGTACCTTGTCATGTACCTAAATACATATGATGCCCCTTTATACCAATGTTTGTGTTCAAATAAATAAAAAATAGTCTGTCCTGATGGGAATCATGTTCTTTCCAATTTTCAAACACATTTTGTTAAGAGAAATTATTATTTAGCTATTGATGTTTATCATCATTTCTACAGCAAAAATTGCATGATGTATATATAACTAAAAGAAAATCAAAAGGTTATAACCTGAATAACTCAACTTTTCATCTGTAACTGTGTTGTCTATTAGATGATAGGTAGATTCCCTGTAGCAGAATGTATTGGATACTGTTTTGTCTGAAGTTTGCGTTCATTTACTGCGTAATTCAACTTCACTTCAAACAAGTTTATTCATTCACCTCTAAGCTCAATAGTAACCCTACATCTAAGACTCTGGGACTGACTAATTGAGAAATATGAGTATCACGTTCAAAACACGATTTTTCGAGACGTTTTTATCATACATCGTAATGAGGATCTGTTTCATTGGCTTACACTGAGTATAGTTATGTCCTAAGTTTTCTATCTCAAGTCTGAGAAGAAACGATGCTTTGTATAATAGAGCATCAAGATAGACATCATTTAAAGTTAATTGATCATATCGGAAAGAAATAGAAGAGGAAAGCATATGATATAATAAGCAAGAATAAAAAGTGTTAAAGCAGACTGTTCAAATTAGTGTACAACGAAGATAGATTATGCTCATTTACAAGATGCATCATACTATTCTAAATCAATGAAAATTGAATTGACTCATTCACTGGGTACTTGAGTATGAATCACATTCTAAGTTTTAGGGTTAATGTTACTACCCGGTTGCCGAAATCGAAGTGGAACGATGCCCGAACTTGGGACATAGTGGCTACAAATTGAACACCTTCACCACTAAGTCATCGCCTCAAGTCATACGATTTATAAGAAATCTAGTGAAAAATTGGCAAAAGATAGGTATTGGTTTTTGTTTTTAGTTATGTTTGATAAAATCTGAAGCCAGTGAATCGTGTGACCGCCTAAAACCTATCCATGGAGTCGTAATGAGGTAACAGTCACCAACACAACTATCCTTTATTCTATAGAACCATATTACAGACTCTCTATTTGCGCTCTTTTTTACATATTTCCAGCATTAGAAATTGATGTGCAGTATAAAAGACACTGAGACGACATACGTAGGACACTCTTACATTACTAAAGTTAATGTTTCTTGAAAGATAAACTCATTTAGTCATCATTTTCACCATGTCGAACCTCAATATTACGTCCACGGTGTTTTTACCGAACAGAAGGATTATTCTTCATAGATAACTATGATCGCATTCATATGGTTTCTAGCATTCTTAACTTAAAGGCCTCGGTTTTACATGTATGTATCAGTACTGCCTTTACGGTAGTGTTAAGCACCCGATCTTTTATTGGTCAAACTAATATCAAAAATGTATAGAAGATGGCCTAGAGTGACATAAACGACTTTTGGTTTGTAATTTACTTGGAATAATCTTATCTATCACGCCTCCACCAACAATCACACAACAGTTTAAATCAGTCATTCAGCTACAACGTAGGACCAAGCGCATATATGCATCAGTCCAAGTTGCCATACCTCATTAACACAACAAGATGGACACCGGATTCGTAAAAGTAGTTAATTCAGAGGTGGTAATATATAAAAGAAAGATTGCAATAAGGATATAGTACAGGAAGAAAGAATTAGTTCGTAGAAGAAAAGATATGAAGTGATTTTACTCTTAGTTTAAGGGAAGACAGAGAGTGTATACACCGACGCCATTGTGATAGATTCTGAGCCATGTCACCTACAGTCTCCAACCATTGGTTACGAAAGTCACGCGGATCCCAACCAAGTAGTCTGCATCTACCAACATGGCTCAGACTACAAGCTAGTGACTTCAAGCACAGATGCCACGTTTTGGTTTGGCCGCCCCTAACTTTCTTCCAACCATCTCCAACACCGGTTAGCATTGCACGTCGTGGTAATCGTTGTTCAGGCGTACGTAACACGTGGCCCAACCATCTCAGTCGATGAATATTCACAACCTCATCAACTGATTTACCATCATTCCCTAATACCCTGCGTCTAACCTCACTATTACTTACCCGGTGATCCCAGCAGACGCCAGCAATATTTCTAAGGCCCGACCGAAGCTTCTACCTTGACGCGGTGGTCGGGCTTGCCTATCGTGATGACCCAACCGAGCTATATTGGCTGGAACATATGTTCCTGCAGGTTCTACCATGCCAGGCAGGTCGATTGGAGAAGGGTAAGACTAAAAGCAGCAACTCAAGGTCTGAGGGCGAAGTCGTACTGCTGACTGTAGAGGGGTGTGACAGCAGTAAGGTGAATCCCTCGGACAACCAGCATGACAGCGATGCTGCCTTCCCACAAGGAGGGGTGGGGTTAGAAAAGGTCGACCCTAAAAATGTCACACCTCACCTTACCTCACGGATTTCCGTCTCCGGCGGTAAGGCCCTTTGAAGAACGGAGCTAACACGTTAAAAACCTTCCACGAAAAGGCCGTGCGCGACCGGCCTCAAGCAGTTGTCCCTTGGGCACTGCGGTCACGCTCCCAGGTCGTTACGACCAACACTAATCCAATTTCCTTTTCAGGTTCCTCAAGAAATACCCTTCCACGGTGTGGGCAGCCGGGAAGTGATATCAGCCCTCATACCCGTAACAGCACACGAGAACAAGTTGGTCACATTCAAATCCTTCCTACACCTCCTAATACCTCTCTTATCTCCATGACTAACCCTTCTCACATCTCTTTATCATCTCGCACCGCTAGGGCAAACGATTCGAGTACGCGGAACGCTATTCCTGGTCTCCTGAAACCACGCTCTAAACTACACGTAGGAGCTTTTAACGTCCGAACACTGTGCCAAATAGGACAACAGGCTTCCTTAGCTAGGACTTTAGAATCCCGCGCCATCGATGTGTGCTGCGTCTCCGAAACGCGCATACAGGATCCAAGTAGCGTCATTCATTTGACCTCACCATGCCAAAATAAAGAACCGACTCGATTCACACTTCGTATATCTGGAAGCCCAGATTCTGCTTCCCGTGGCCTCGCCGGCGTAGGTATAGCATTGAGTCCTAGGGCAGAACTAGCTCTCTTAGAGTGGATCCCAGTAGACAGTCGTTTGTGCGCTGTCCGACTGAACGGAACAGTAAGGATCCGAAAAGATAGGGACACTCGTCGTTGCCTCTTCGTCGTCTCTGCCTATTCTCCCACTGACTGCAGCTCAGATTATGTAAAAGAAAGCTCTCAGACCTCCTCCTTAAAGCTAGGCGTTCGGATGTAGTAATAATGGCCGGTGACTTTAATGCTCAAGTAGGTAAACTAAGCGAAAGAGAAAGACACCTGAGTGGATCTTATAGCATCGTGGCTCAAAGAACAGATAATGGCGACCGTCTGTTGCAGCTATGCTCAGATAACCGCCTCTTTCTTGCAAATACTAACTTTAAGCATAAGGAAAAACATCTTTTAACATGGAGACCCCCTAATTCGGCCCAACGTTGGACCCAAATAGATCACATCGCTATCAGCCATCGATGGAGGGGCTCGATAGAAGACTGTCGCTCATTCTGGAGCACATGCCTAGATTCAGATCATGCTCTAGTGCGAGCGCGCATTTGCTTGCGTCTTACTGGACGCAGCATAGAATGATATCCGAAAAGCTGTGGAAACAGCAGTGATATCTGCTAGTAAGGTAAACCAGAAGGTTAGGGAGCAACACTGGATCTCAGCAGCATCTATCTCACTGATAGATGCTCGGAAACTCATTCCACCCGGCTCTGAACATAATGAAGAGCGGAGTCAGCTTAAGTGCAAGCTGACAAGAAGTCTACGCAATGATCGTGAACAGTGGTGGGTAGCGAAAGCAAGAGAGATGGAAAAGGCAGCGGCAATAGGTAATAGCAGACAATTGTTCAGACTTGTTAAGGAAGCCGACTGTTAGCGAAGCAATCTCAGAGAAAGATGAACATATTATACATTCTCAATCCAGGAGATTGGATCGATGGGCAGAACACTTTAGGGATCAGTTCAACTGGCCTTCAGCCACACTTCGGTTTCCCACGATCTCCAGTCAACCTGAATGGCAAGTTAATGTAGGTCCTCCGTCTCTTTACGAAGTTGAAAAAGCCATAGGAAATCTGAAACGAGGGAGAGCAGCAGGCCCTGACAGGTTTACTCCTGAGATTTTTAAGGGTTGTGGTCCAGTATCAGCAGTGAGATTAACTGAGGTCTTAGGTAGAATTTGGGAACTGGACGTAATCCCATCTGACTGGTCTCAATCACTGATTGTGCCAGTCTATAAGAAAGGACAAAAGTCCTCTTGTGACAATCACTGAGGAATCAGTTTGACAAATATAGTGTCTAAAATATTAGCTTCAATAATACTTCGACGCCTAATCAAAGCTCGTGAAGAGCAGACTAGAGAAAATCAGGCTGGTTTTCGACCTGGACGTGGTTGTATTGATCAGATATTCACACTACATCAGGTTCTAGAACACAGACATACGTTCAGACGCCCCACAATGGTAGTATTTCTCGACCTTAAGGCGGCATTCGACTCTGTTGATCGTAAGGTTCTATGGCAGTGTTTGTCACTGAAAGGAGTATCAAAGAAGTACATTAACCTTATAAAGGCTCTCTACTCGAACACAACTGATGGAGTGAAAGCTTATGATGAACTGTCATCAGAATTGATTACCTCAAGTGGTGTTCGTCAGGGCTGTAAGTCTATGATAAAGTTAAACAAAAATGGAGAAAGTGGACAGCCTTGACGAACACCACTTGAGGTTGCAAAAGCAGATGACAGTTCGCCATAAGCTCTCACTCGACTAGTAGTGTTGGAGTAAAGAGCCTTCACAGGGTTGATGTACTTCTGAGGTACGCCTTTCAAAGACAGACATTGCCACAGGATCTCGCGGTCTACAGAATCAAATGCTGCTTTTAAGTCAAGAAAGACCACCATTGTCGGACGCCGATAAGTATGCCTTTGTTCTAGAATCTGACGAATGGTGAATATGTGGTCGACGCAGTCACGACCAGGTCTGAAGCCAGCTTGGTTCTCTCGTGTTTGCAGTTCGCGAGTCTTAGGTGTCTGATAATTATCGAGGCTAGTATTTTGGATATTATATTAGTTAAACTAATCCCTCTATGGTTGTCACAGGATGATTTTGACCCCCTCTTATATATTGGGACGATAAGTGATTGTGACCAGTTAGATGGAATAACGTCTAACTCCCAGATCTTAGCTAAAATATTAGTCAACCTAATCGCTAAAATTGGACCACCATCCTTAAAGACCTCTGGAACCAATCCATCTGAACCAGCTGCCCTTCCTCGTTTCAGATTAACTATGGTCTTTTGAACTTCTGCTAGAGTTGGGGGCCTACTTCAATGTTCCATTCACACTGTCTGGGAATGGAGGGTAGTTGTAGAGTAGCTGAAGGCCAGCTGAACTGTTCCCTAAAGTGTTCCGCCCATCGGTCTAAACGTCTGGACTGGGAGTAGATGAGAGTATCGTTTTTTTTCGAAATAATCTCACACTTGACTTATTAATTCCAGTTTCTTTTATTAGTCTATAAAGCTGTCTTGTGTTCCCTATAGTCGCCGCCTTTTCCATCTCTTTTGCTTTCGTTGCCCACCACTGCTCACGGTCGTTCTTAGACTTTTTCTTAACCTAGATCTGATTTGTTGTCGCTCTTCATCATGTTCGGAACCTGATGGGACGGGTTTGCGAGAATCCATCAGTGCACTAGACCTTGAGGAAATCCATTGGTTCTTTGTAACCCTATGGTTTAAATCACTGATAGATGTCACTGCTGTTTCCACAGCTACTTGAATATCTTTCCAAGCAATATCTGGGTCAGCGTCGTTTTCAGAACTACCTAAGTGTGACCCCTACCTACTTTTGGTTTTCTCGTTACTCATTTCAGTTCTAATAGGTCTTCTGAGTATGCTTTTTCTGCGTCCAGTGAGGCACAAGCAAATGCGTGCCCGTATTAGAGCATGGTCGGAGTCCAAGCAGGTACTCCAGAATGAGCGACAATCTTCTATCGACCCTCTCCAACGATGACTGATGGCAATATAGTCTATTTGAATCCATCGTTAGTTTGGTGTAGGGGGTCGCCACGTTAGACGATGTCTCTCCTTATGCTCAAAATTTGTGTCTGCTAAAAATAAACGATTGTCTGAGCACAGTTGCAGCAGACGATCACCATTATCTGTTCGTTGTGCCGGAATACTAAAATACCCACCTAAATGCCTTTCTGTTTGGTTTAAACTACCTATCTGGGCATTAAAGTCACCTGCTACGAGCACTATGTCTGAACGTTTAGCTTTCTGAAGAAGTTCAGAAAGCTTTCTGTAAAATTCACCTTTCACTTCATCTGAGCTGCTTAAATACATAAACATATTGAGTATTTCCAGCTCCTTACTGCGATAGAACTAGTATATATGGCGGCTCTTCTTAGCCTTGTAAAATCTCTTGACAGTCTAACAGTACAAAATAGGTGTGGTGCTTATTTTCATACAATGACTCAAATGTCCCACATACGAGACGATTTTTATATTATCTCTGACTATTCTACTGAAAAATAGGTCTGTTATCCGATAGCATGTGTATTAGATTATTTTTTCCAGATATTTTACGTCTGAAGGAAAAGGAACCATAAATGTCGACAATAATACGTTCAGGCATAAAATGATATGTTTATAATTTAAGACGAAATAAATGTATCTATTATAGAGCGGGATATTATGGTTCGATTGAAGGATTTTCGCCTATCAAAATCGATGAGTAGAGTGGTGTCCGAGATTTGGTATGTCACGATACGGTGTTTCTGAGTTATGGTTACTCACAAGACTGAATTATTGGTGTAAGCCCCCAGAATGATTTTAGATCAAAATCAAGACTACTTACCAGAAGTATAGGTTTCCTTTGTGTAGCAAAGTGATATGCTTATGTAAAAAATATTAACACAAAAAAACGACATGGTAAAATGTTATAGGCGATTGAATAAACTCAGCTGGTAGGTCACTTACTCTAATCAATTAAGTCCTAATTGTTTGACCTAATTGTAAACTGATCTAATATGATGATCAATTAATTTCTTATCAACACTTTCAATAACTAGTTCTTCATTACGTTCAATACCTCAACTAGAAAAAGAATTCCACCAGTTAATAAAAAAAAACCGTGTGAGTAACATCATGAACGTTCATACTCACATGTATACATTAGAGGAATATCTCGTATTGTTATGTGTATATTAATAACATCCATGGTATCTACGCTTTCAAGTACGGATTTATTTACTCGACTTTAAGCCACCGTTTGTGTCAGGGTTATTGGTACTGTTACTGCTACTACTAACACTACTAATACTGTAGTGAAGGAGAACACAGGTGAGGACAACCGAATGTATTTTACACAAAATTACAGGGCATCTCAATAAAATGTGAGAACTATATATCAAATCGTTAATTTGCAAAATGTCCACCAGTTGTCTCAAAATGCCTCAGACTTCATTGTTCTTGCATTTTCATACAAATTGCATTCTATTCCCGCTTTTGCTTTCTTGATCTTCCCTCATCTTCTGCTGCCAGACATTACATTCCTGACTCGCATAATATACTACTTATATCAATATAAATAGCACGCACCACAATACTAGTACTAACGCTAATACTACTACTACTACTACATATCTGTACGAATTTGAGTTGTTGTGGAGTGCGGACCTGCTACTTGTTAGTTAAAAATTAAGTGTTTTAATCATCAAATCACTGATTTACACGTCAGATAAATAATTTGAGTGTGTAGAAAAACAATGTCATTTAAATAAATTAACCAGTTAACCTTTCCAAATCAGTTCGTTAATATATAAAGAAATATGCTATGCCCACTGACTACCGAACACTTATTATGCTTGAACTATTGCTTTCTTTTATTTTCAAATAGACTGGATCGTATGTAGCTACACGTCAACTTATTGATTTGGAAGATCGATTTGAAAATGAGGTGATCGCTCGACGTCATCGCGCTACTTTAAATGATCCAGTAAGACAGCCTCCTGAACGTCCTGCATTGTCGGATACTGGTGAGTAGTAGTAAACTCTACTCTTTTGTTTATGGCATAGCTCCAGTTAAACAGAACAAAGTAAATTGTTTCGGAAGAAACAAATTGAGTGTGCGAGTTTTATTGGGTCCCACGTGATCGAGCCAAAAATAATAGAAAAAAAGCAGTCCTATGATCTATCTCCCCAGTCCGATTATCGATTAGTTCATCTACAATGCCAGTGGGACCGATGAACGTCTTATTTTTTGATTAACAGCGATCAACAAACAAAAGCCAAAATCTTAACGTTTATTGTTCCTCAAGTTGTGTCCAACCTGGTGTCCAATTAGAAGAGGAAGACAGAAGGCAAATCATTTTGCCATTGTACTTAATCAAATTATAATTCAAAACTCAAACAACATATCTGAAATCTCTGACTATATAGCAACACGATTAGCAAATTGCGATTCGTAAATAACTTGGTCATAAGTGATACATGACTAGAGTAATAGGGAAATAACCAAGTAATGGTAAATCTGGAATAGTAAGACATGGAAAAGATTTATAAACCAAACGAAAGCTTAGAACCAGGGAAATTAAAGAAAATGCAGCAGTCTAAACATTCGACAATCATACAATAAAAATATAAATATTTATTCCTCGTATATTAGCCTCAAAAGTTATATTTCTTCACTATTCATTCCATTATATCACAATTATTTTCAAGAAAAAGTTTCTCGACGATAATCAGTACAATTTTGAAGTCTAAAGTAAGATGATTTTTCTCAATAGACTAGATGGAACAGCACCGTTAGGTGCCTTAGTTAATATTAAATGGGTGGGGTTAAGTAATACAGTTTTATTAAATCTAGATGTGAACGGATTAGGCGGGAAATACAGTTAGTTTGTTGTATAATCCCATGGAATGAAATATAGCTATATATGGTTGGGATTTCCCGATCTGTTTTTACTTTTCGGGTGGGATCTTCAGGGTTATGCAGTCCAGATGTAATAGTGGCCGGTGACTTTAATGCTCAAGTAGGTAAACTTAGCGATAGGGAAAGACACCTAGGTGGATCTTATGGTGTCGTGGCTCAAAGAACAGATAATGGCGACCGTCTGTTGCAGCTATGCTCAGATAACCGCCTGTTCCTTGCAAATACTAACTTTAAACATAAGGAAAAACATCTTTCAACATGGCGACCCCCGAATTCGTCCCAACGTTTGACCCAAATAGATCACATCGCTATCAGCCATCGATGGAGGGGCTCGATAGAAGACTGTCGCTCATTCTGGAGCACATGCCTAGATTCAGATCATGCTCTAGTGCGAGCGCGCATTTGCTTGCGTCTTACTGGACGCAGCATAGAATGATATCCGAAAAGCTGTGGAAACAGCAGTGATATCTGCTAGTAAGGTAAACCAGAAGGTTAGGGAGCAACACTGGATCTCAGCAGCATCTATCTCACTGATAGATGCTCGGAAACTCATTCCACCCGGCTCTGAACATAATGAAGAGCGGAGTCAGCTTAAGTGCAAGCTGACAAGAAGTCTACGCAATGATCGCGAACAGTGGTGGGTAGCGAAAGCAAGAGAGATGGAAAAGGCAGCGGCAATAGGTAATAGCAGACAATTGTTCAGACTCGTTAAGGAAACCGGAATTAGGAACCCGACCGTTAGCGAAACAATCTCAGAAAAAGATGGACATATTATTCATTCTCAATCCAGGAGATTGGATCGATGGGCAGAACACTTTAGGGATCAGTTCAACTGGCCTTCAGCCACACTTCGGTTTCCCACGATCTCTAGTCAACCTGAATGGCAAGTTAATGTAGGTCCTCCGTCCCTTTACGAAGTTGAAAAAGCCATAGGAAATCTGAAACGAGGGAGAGCAGCAGGCCCTGACAGGTTTACTCCTGAGATTTTTAAGGATGGTGGTCCAGTATTAGCAATGAGATTAACTGAGGTCTTAGGTAGAATTTGGGAACTGGACGTAATCCCATCTGACTGGTCTCAATCACTGATTGTGCCAGTCTATAAGAAAGGACAAAAGTCCTCTTGTGACAATCACAGAGGAATCAGTTTGACAAATATAGTGTCTAAAATATTAGCTTCAATAATACTTCGACGCCTAATCAAAGCTCGTGAAGAGCAGACTAGAGAAAATCAGGCTGGTTTTCGACCTGGACGTGGTTGTATAGATCAGATATTCACACCACGTTAGGTTCTAGAACACAGACACACATTCAGACGCCCCACAATGGTAGTATTTCTCGACACCCGAACTAGTGATAGGAAGTGAGGTAGTTGAGTGTGTCGACCGCTTCACTTATCTTAGAAGTCTCATCAGCCCTTGTGGTTTAGTGTGTGACGAAATCTCAGCACGGATACAGAAGGCTCGACTAGCTTTCGCCAACTTGCGTCATTTATGGCGTAGGCGAGATATCCGTCTATCAACCAAAGGACGGGTTTACTGCGCAGCAGTTCGTTCCGTCCTACTTTATGGCTATGAAACATGGCCGGTAAGAGTAGAGGATATTCGTAGGTTACTAGTATTTGATCATAGGTGTCTTCGAAATATTGCTCGTATATCGTGGGACCATCGAGTAAGTAATGCAGTTGTTAGGAAACGGGTACTAGGTAAGGATGGCAAATCAATTGATGAAGTAGCGAAACTTCATCAGTTGAGGTGGTTGGGGCGCGTGTTACGTATGCCCAACGACCGACTGCCTCGACGGGCTATGTTCAGTGGTATAGGAGTAGGTTGGAAGAAAGCTAGGGGCGGCCAAACCAAAACGTGGCACAAGTCCATGAAGTCACTGACAAGTGAACTGAGTCATGTTGGTAGGTGTAGACTAGCTGGTTGGGGACCGCGAGATGATAGCAACCGATGGTTAGAGACCCTGAATGACATGGCTCAAAATCGTTTGCAATGGCGCAGGTGCATCCACTCTCTGTGTTCTCCCAAATTCTAATCTTCTGAATCCTTCATGTCCCTTTTTTCCTCTTTCCAAATTTATTTCACTGGATTATACTCTTTAAATAACATCTCCAAACCCTAATCTTCCCGATTACTGCTTATACTCTTACTACCTCTACCACTACGGGATTTGAATAGACAACTGCATCTCTGTGCTAATGTGGTGTGGCAACTCGAACTGATGTACATATGTACGAAGTTCTACGTTGTTACTGACTGACTGATGCAGTCCAGTGGCTTGATATTCTAGCTTCTTGGGACACTCTTAACAAACACTGACACAAAACATGTGTTAAGAGTTCTCTTGTGTGATCTCTGCTAACGACCTAACAGATAAATAATTCTTAGAGTATATATTCTAAAATAATATCGTCTATTTGTCTGAGCGGCCGATTTTCAATAATTGATGCAGTGTTTCGCCCCCTTCTACTTCTGCTTGAATAGCTAGTTATCGACTTTCAAAAACCATAGGTGCTATTTAAATGAAAGTATAGAAACCTATCTTTTGTTGTACTGAATGGACATGCCGCTTTGAGTGTAACTTTGCCCCCCCCATCAAATGTAGCTCATCAAAACACCTCGAATAGAGTTCTAGGGATCGTAAAACTCAGTGTCTTGAGAAGTTATAAAACAAGACTTATAAAAATCTTGCAATCTTATTCTAGTGTATAAATCCGTATTTGTTTGTGAATTTCAGTTGATACTATTGTTTAAAACAAAATGGGGAGTCGTAGTGTGGTGGACGCTACTCACAAAGCTGCTTGTAAGTAGTGTCTTGCGGAACGTTGCCTCAAAGTTGTTGACGGAGTAAAGAGTTTCAGTACATTGAAAGCACAGCGTTAGCAGAACACTGGGAGACCAGATGATAAAACTGTTCAGATTCCAGAATACACCGAGAGATGTAAAAGGACGAGTGAAGGCTATGTATACGTATAATGTAAATGGTCTGTAACTTCTCACAATAAATATAAATTCCTTCTGCATATTACCTTCCTTTACAATAGCGATCGGTGCATATTAATTACACAGTTACTTCACAGTCTCATTGCATCAATTCTATAGTTACGTAAATTGTTATGAAGTAAACTGTGATAAACTTGGTCAAGATAAGTTTAGATGGCATAGTACCTATTTCATCTGGTCAGTTGGTTAATTATACACATCTATTTATTATCTATTTATTTATCAACAGAGCATCGACGTAATTCCCGTGCTTCACATCTTCATCGTTCGAAAAAGTCGACCCACAAATGTGATACAGTGAATTCAGTGTTTGACAATAATTCCGATAATGATGATGACTACTTGGCGGCTATCGGTGATAACGCAGAAACTTCAAAAGATGTTTGTTTATCGACTGGATTTAGAAATAAGGTATTCTTAATTGATTGTTGTAATACTTATTGATATTTTTTATCATTGCTGATGTTATTTTGTAAGTAATAATATATACATTTGATGCTCGCATCCTATTCGTCAGCAATGGTTTAGACTGAAAATGATAAGGCTTAAAGATGTTTACATCCAATCGAATTATTCAAGTAAATAGATTGGTGGTATTCAATAGTTAAAGAATCCGTGTTTCATCTATTAGGTCATTAATTTAAACTATTCTTCATTTATTTCGGTTCTTATAGATGGATTATAGTATTACTGCCCTTCTCACTAACAGTACTGCTCAAAGTTTATAAGCTTATGAGTATCGACACGACATCTATGGTGCATTTTAATTGGCCGGCATCCTATGTATCACAGAACCCAACAATAAGGTTAATCATGGCTAGTTCTCGTCAGAGACTGTCAGTATTAAACCAGGAAACATTGGATAGCAAATTTTTTGTGGTTCAAGATTGCTTCTCTGTATTTCAAATTTAGACGTGATTCCAGGACACTCAGTAAGGAAAATACCTCTACACTAATGAGTGCGATTCTAATGGCTTACATTTTAAACTGCAGTCGATTTTCGATAAACCTCAATTATCGTCCATTCTTATCTGTAATAGGAGTGTCATCCTCAATATGACTTATTTTGATTGATGATAAAGGCTTCATATAAAAACCGGGATCTCTCAGTTACTGGTTGTGGTGGTTTGGTTAGAACATGCATCATGTGTCTCCAGCCACTCTCAACTGTGACGCGGTGTGTTTCCTGATGTAGTAGTAAGTTGAAATAAAATAACTCACGTACTGGTAACTTCTTTCAGTACATATCTCATCTCTTTTACAAAAACACACTTTACTCGATTCCATGCTGATCATTGTTTTTTTATATTGCTTTAAATTACAGAACTTATCCATCGATCATACAAAACATAATTATGAATCTATTTGTGCATCTAATAATAGTATTAATAACACGAGTAATAATAGCATTTTAAATTCTGATTATCACAATGTCAATGGCCATTCCATAGGTCAACGTAGTATAAGACAACAACGTGAAATCGCTTATAAAATTGAACATCCTAATCGTTTACATCCTGATATTGGCATAATGAAGCTAACGAGTTCAATGATGGTCCAGCTTGTTCTTGTAAACCGAAATATCGTATTGGACCATTACACAATCAATACGAAGGTGAACAGGTAATGTTAATATAAATTTTTTTGTACTATACGGTTATACTAATCATAATCATATAGATCATAAATGTCTATGTCATATTTTTGTTGTATTGGGAAGGGCCATATATATTTTACCGTCCATGTAATAATTGTCTTGTTTTTTTTCCGAATTTACGACCAAGAATAATAGTAATCGTCCAGTAGTAAGGAATCACTAAAGGGCGAGTTCATTGGTTAGAGATTTCGACTTTCAACCACTAATTCAAAGGTTTGTACCCCATCCCACCTACTTCGGTCCTGGTAACCGGATAGTATCACTAGTCGTCAATACCATTTGCATGAATCTGTACGTTCTAAATGAGTTAATTGAAAAATCAGTCGCCAAGGATGAATATTAAAGACCATAAAACCATCACTAGGTCTTTGTTTCTTAATTTGTCATTTCTGACTATTTTGGCTTGATTTTTTTAACTCTTCTGTTTGATGCGATGAAATGTAGGAACCTTGACTGATTGGAGTTTTTTTCCAGATTGCACTACTTTGTTTATTGTTGATTGAATTCTAATGAAGCAGTTGCCCATGACTAGATTTTACGTCATCTTCTTCAGACAATTTTTCCCATTTATAAATTCGAATAAGATAATAACAACGATCTCTGTAGAATAATATGAATTCATTAACTTCGTAAATTCTCGACTACTTGCAACCTAGGAATAGTTGTATTGATGATCTACAAACGGTGTACATAATTTATAATATGGTTTCAGAAAGAATAATGTGAATATTGTCGAAGAAAATGCATGGTAACATTTCACAGGAAAAAATAACTTTAAAACTTACGCAGCAACCATTACAAAAAAGGTTTGATTAGAGGAATAAAGTGAGTAGGTCCGGGATAAGACACACGAATGAAGAAAATAAACTTATTACTGAGACCCAAACATGAGAAGCTACTGTTGAGTCGGCTTTCTGAGAACTTCGACGGAGCCTCTAGAGGCCCAAAAGGAGCCGAAGAGTCCTAGCCAATCGGAGCACGATGGAGCATTCTAGAATTCCAACGTGGCGTGCTACTATTGGTCAGTAGCATAATGTGTCGTTAACGGATTGGTCGAAATATGATGTTGATTTAACAAACGCTAACATCTATAAATACCCATGTTTTCTGTACAAAAACGAACCTTGGAGTAAAGTGTTTCTTTCATACTTTGCGTCTTCTTTCTGGTGTTCAGGTCGCTGTATAGTTCTAGCGTGTTGGTTATCAGAATAGCTTAGGAAAGAATATAGCGTCTAAATCAGCAAGACTCAACAGCTACCCAACTAAGTGTTAGGTTAGATAGTAACATCGCTGGTTGCCTGCTCAGTGGTCTAGATGTTAAGCATTCGAGCGGGGCTGAAGGTCCTTGGTTCGAGTCTCACGTGCGGGACCGTGGATGGGTATTTCTAAGGAATCCCACACTGGAACTAAGCGGCCTCTAATACTTCCAGGTTTCCAATGATGATTTAGCATTAATCGGTTCATGATCTCAATGGGTGTTGGGAACTGAGGTCACTAGAGCAATGCTAAACTGACAACAGTATCCTTTCGAATGCACAAGTCCAGTTTAAGCCTTTTGACAGCAATAGTTTAGCTGAAATACAATAAATTCAAAGTTCTCACTGATTATTTTTAAAGGATTTTACAAATGATTTATTACTGAGTATTGACCAATATCATGACTGTTTGGTTCTTTTAGTCTTGATCGAATCCTCGCGATGATTTCGAAATATCAGTGTCGTACCCACTATTGAGTAGATTAGAGGTGACTGCACTATTCAAAATGGGTCAACTTATTAGTCTCGAATTTTGCGAAATGTACTCAGTTTAGGAAGTTGAATAGTAGTATATCAGCACTAGCCCTTAAATAGTTATTGATCAATGCCCAGTACAATCACCTATAGTTTGTAAATAAATTACCTTTATTCTCCTTACATTTGACTTTGAATCCTACTGGTTTGTAGGTTCAAACTTCACTTCGATCACTTTGGTTCATCCGTTTGACTATTAATAGCTATCTCCCGCTCACGCACGCAAAGTATGGTTGTTCTTGATTCGTCCAATTACATTATCAATTAAAATTAATCTAAGTATAAACTCTCGAAATACTATAATTACCCAGTTATTTCAGAAAAAAACCCTATTTCAGAATTCAAATACGCTAACAGAAACTGATCAGTATTTATTTCTAAATATCAACAAATAAACGTATATGTTGTTACCTAATAACCTCTCGACTTAGTAGCTTAGTGGACGATGACATCGTTTAAAGTTATAGGTACTGGGTTGGAGTCCCTTCCTGAACACATACTGGAATGTGACAGGTATATCCAGCTAGTGACGAAACTCGTGTCCTAGATTCCTCTAAGAAAGCCATAATCTAAATTTACCAAAGTACTCTTAAGGAAATATCAAGGCATTTTCTTATGATGTACATATTTCCACAATAACTTTGATCAGTAATGGTATTCAGTCTTGAATATCAACAAGTAGATAATAAATAAATATAACTCTTAAATGTCTTTTTATTGTTTTGTATTTTAACGAACATAAATCAATATGATAAATTAACATTTAGTTATTTTTAATATTTATCTGTCTATTTTTTCAGCCCATTCCGCTATGTATTCCAGAATCAAATAATCATGATCGTCTTTATCATTATCGTGTGATTATATCACCGACAACTAATTTTGTTCAACCAAACCCATCGAAAATTACTCATAATGAACATGATTATCTATTTGATGGTTTTTCACTGTTTATGCATTATAAATTAGATAAGGTAGATCTAATTCGTTGTGAATCTCGTTTTCAATTAGTTTAATGATTAATTCATTAGTCTTTTCAAATACTATAGCACCTAATGATTGTGTTTATTGCCTCTGTTGTATATTCATTTCAAAGATCATATCCCCTATTCCTCTTGCTATATCTCCCAATATCCTGAGAATACCGTATTATAAAAAATTTCAAACACCGACTAGACAATTTCGCACAGAACTGACACTAAACACTTCTTGACTTTGATGCATGATGATCCTTCACCACCTGTGGAGTATCTAACGTCCGATGCAATCCTGTTGACTTCTGTTTTTATAGATACTCAATCAACAACACAATATTCGGTTAGTGGACTCAAACAGATCACTGGCTCAGATAACCTAAAATATTACAGTATTGTGGATTCATCAAGACGATCACTCCTTAAAGTAATTAATTTGTAGCAGGTTACAATTTAGGAATGTAGAGTATCTCATATTACATCGGAAAATCAAAGTTGACTGGATCGATTTTCCACCTAAACTATATTGCAGCTGATTTGTACTGTCATAAGGACTACTTAAGAATTCTACCGTTTTTGATATAACAGATCAGTCAACCCAAAGCTTTCCCTACCTATAGAATAGTCGGAGTACTATAGTGAATACATAGCTGCTAGCCACGAGATACACTAATGCGCATGAAACCGTTACTCCACTGCGTTGCAGATTAGACTTCTAGGTGAAAGGTTCGGGAATGGCCTAAGAAAACCACCTCACGCAAATCGAATGGTGGTGTGGCACATATATATTTAGCACCCCTTCATACTAATATATATGTTTTAATAAGTAAAACCAACCTATAACACAAACATCTACGTATAATTATAATATTTTTCTCCCTTCATATAGTCAAACTAAGTACATGTGGATCTAAACAGTTTACGAGTTATCGTTTTTATTTAGTAGATATAATAAATTACCAAATTAAAATAACTGATTTATTAAATACAGAGTTATATACTAAACGCTACATGCACAAAGATGATTGAGGAATCGTTCTTAGAGAAAGTTTGATCATGATGATTATCCGAAATAGGTTTTCAATGAAATGTGCGGACCGATGATGGGGAATAAGAAACACACCAGACTTTCAACCATTATCGGGTTATTATCCAGTTCAAAACTCAGGTCATAGTTGAATTATGGTTGCGATTAGGAGTTTGGATTAGCGTTAGAATTTAGGTTAAAGATTGGTAGTTAAGATACAGAATATTGGTTAGAAGTTAAAAGTAATGGTTAAAAATAGAGTAAGAATGCTTTCCTAGTCACATGAATGAATACTTGTACAGTTGGTCCTTTTATTTTGAATGTTAAAAACCTTTTAATTGCTTTCAAACAATCATAAATTATAATTCCTATGCTTTAACCTCTCCATGTTACCCATTTTTATGCATCGTATTACCTGAATATTGAGGATTTTAAATAATATAGATACCAACTATCTATCATCAGACCTCGAATTTCATTCACAGATTCAATAGCCATTACCTGTGGTATGATTGGTCCACCAGCAAGAAGACATATATTCTATTTCGAGTAACGAACTGGCCTAATTTTGAAAACCATTTAAAATGAAAAAGCACTGGGTGGATGTATCGTTCTAATATGAGACCTCTGAGCAGCAACACCCACTCCACTGGAGATCGAACCCGGATTCCTCCGGGTAACCCAAGGTCCGAAGGCGAAGTCGTACTGCTGACTGTACAGAGGTGTGACAGCAGTAAGGTGTTTCCTTCAGACAACCAGCATGACAGCGATGCTGCCTTCCCACAAGGAGGGGTGGGGTTAGAAAAGGTCGACCCTAAAAATGCACACCTCACCTTACCTCACGGATTTCCGTCTCCGGCGGTAAGGCCCTTTGAAGAACGGAGCTAACACGTCAAAAACCTCCCACGAAAAGGCCGTGCGCGACCGGCCTCAAGCAGTTGTCCCTTGGGCACTGCGGTCACGCTCTCAGGTCACTGAGACCACCTCTAATCCAATTTCCTTTTCAGGTACCTCCAGAAGAACCCTTCCACGGTGTGGGCAACCGGGAAGTGATAACCGCCCTCATACCTCTAACAGCACTCAAGACCACTGTATTCATAATCAACCTTCCTCTTCAATTCCTATTATTCCTCCTACATCGACTTTCAACTCTAAACTTCCTCTTTCGGCTTCCTCCTCAAGTGTCACCATAGCCAACGATTCTAGTGCTCAAAACACTGTCCCAGGTCTACTGAAACCTCGCTCCAAACTACACATTGGAGCCTTCAACGTACGCACCCTATGTCAAATCGGTCAGCAGGCTTCCTTGGCTAAAACCCTAGAGTCTCTTTCCATTGATGTATGCTGTGTCTCCGAAACACGCATACAGGATTCCAGTGTGGTCATTCACTTGACCTCACCTCGGCAAAACGGAGAGCCAACGAGATACACCCTTCGTGTATCTGGTGACCCGATGGCCAGTTCTCGTGGACTGGCAGGTGTAGGCATAGCACTAAGCATGAGGGCGAACAAGCACTGCTAGAGTGGATCCCCGTCAACAGTCGTCTATGTGCTGTTCGGCTAAACGGCTCCGTAAGAACTCGGAAGGATAGGGACACACGTCGTTGCCTTTTTGTCGTTTCTGCCTACGCTCCCACTGACTGCAGCTCAGATGAAGTGAAAGATGAATTTTACAGAAAGCTTCTGAACTTCTTCAGAAAGCTAAACGCTCAGACATAGTACTCGTAGCAGGTGACTTTAATGCTCAGATAGGTAGTTTAAACCAAACAGAAAGGCATTTAGGTGGATATTTTAGTATTCCGCACAGCGAACAGATAATGGTGATCGTCTGCTGCAGCTATGCTCAGACAATCGTTTATTTTTAGCAAACACAAATTTTAAGCATAAGGAGAGACATCGTCTAACATGGCGACCCCCTACACCAAACCAACGATGGACTCAAATAGACCATATTGCCATCAGTCATCGTTGGAGAGGGTCGGTAGAAGATTGTCGCTCATTCTGGAGTACCTGCTTGGACTCCGACCATGCCCTAATACGGGCACGCATCTGCTTGCGCCTCACTGGACGCAAAAAAGCCACATTAAAAAGACCCATTAGAACTGAGTTGAGTAACGAGAAAACCAAAAGTAGGTTCCAGGAACAACTGAGGTCACACTTAGGTAGTTCTGAAGACGAGGCTGACCCAGATGTTGCTTGGAAAGATACAAGCAGCTGTGGAAACAGCAGTGACATCTATTAGCGACTTAAACCACAGAGTTACAAAGAACCAGTGGATTTCTTCAAAGTCTATCACACTGATGGATTCTCGCAAACTCGTCCCATCAGGTTCCGAACATGATGAAGAGCGACAACAAATCAGATCTAGGTTAAGAAAAAGTCTAAGGAACGACCGTGAGCAGTGGTGGGCAACGAAAGCAAAAGAGATGGAAAAGGCGGCGACTATAGGGAACACAAGACAGCTTTACAGACTAATAAAAGAAACTGGAATTAATAAGTCAAGTGTAAGTGAGATTATTTCGGAAAAAGACGATACTCTCATCTGCTCCCAGTCCAGACGTTTAGAACGATGGGCGGAACATTTCAGAGAACAGTTCAGCTGGCCTTCAGCTACTCTACAACTACCCTCCATTCCCAGACAGTGTGAATGGAACATTGAAGTAGGTCCCCCAACTCTTGCTGAAGTTCAAAAGGCTATAGTTAATCTGAAACGAGGAAGGGCAGATGGACTGGCTCCAGAGGTCTTTAAGGATGGTGGTCCAATTTTAGCGATTAGGTTGACTAATATTTTAGCTAAGATCTGGGAGTTAGACGTTATCCCATCTGACTGGTCACAATCACTTATCGTCCCAATATATAAGAAAGGGTCAAAATCATCCTGTGACAACCACAGAGGGATTAGTTTAACTAATATAATATCTAAAATACTAGCCTCGATAATTATCAGACGCCTAACTAAGACTCGTGAACTGCAAACACGAGAGAACCAAGCTGGCTTTAGACCTGGTCGTGGCTGCATCGACCACATATTCACCATTCGTCAGGTTCTAGAACACAGGCATACTTATCGGCGTCCGACAATGGTGGTCTTTCTGACTTAAAAGCAGCATTTGACTCTGTAGACCGCGAGATTCTGTGGCAGTGTCTGTCATTGAAAGGCGTACCTCAGAAGTACATAAACCTTGTGAAGGCTCTTTACTCGAACACTACTAGTCGAGTCAGGGCTTATGGCGAACTGTCATCTACTTTTGCAACCTCAAGTGGTGTCCGTCAAGGCTGTCCACTTTCCCATTTTTGTTTAACTTCATCATAGACCTATTGATGGAAATAACTCTCGTCGACTGAATTCTCGGGTATTGATCTCCATCCAGGAGGTCCACTTATCGACTTAGAATACGCAGATGACATAGTCCTGTTTGGTGAAGACGCTGACAAAATGCAGAGTCTTCTGGTAGCACTAAGCAACAATGCCAGAATGTTTGGAATGCGCTTCTCTCCCTCTAAATGCAAGTTGTTGCTTCAGGACTGGTCTGCGTCAACACCTGAACTAAGGATAGGGAGTGAAGTAGTCGAACGCGTTGACAACTTCACTTATCTTGGAAGTCTGATCAGCCCTAATGGGTTGGTGTCTGACGAAATCTCAGCACGGATTCGAAAAGCTCGTTTGGCTTTTGCCAACTTACGTCACCTTTGGCGAAGGCGAGATATCCGTCTATCAATAAAAGGACGAGTATACTGCGCGGCAGTCCGTTCTGTTTTACTTTACGGCAGCGAAACATGGCCTTAAGAGTAGAAGACACTCGTAAGCTACTAGTATTTGACCACAGATGCCTTAGAAATATTGCTGGCGTCTGCTGGGATCACCGGGTAAGTAATAGTGAGGTTAGACGCAGGGTATTAGGGAATGATGGTAAATCAGTTGATGAGGTTATGAATCTTCATCGACTGAGATGGTTGGGCCACGTGTTACGTATGCCTGAACACCGATTACCACGACGTGCAATGCTAACCGGTGTTGGAGATGGTTGGAAGAAAGTTAGGGGCGGCCAAACCAAAACGTGGCATCAGTGCTTGAAGTCACTAACTTCTAGTCTGAGCCATGTTGGTAGATGCAGACTACTTGGTTGGGGTCCGCGTGACTTTCGTAACCAATGGTTGGAGACTCTTGGTGACATGGCTCAGAATCGATCACAATGGCGTCGGTGTATACACTCTCTGTCTTCCCTTAAACTAAGAGATTAAAATCACTTCATATCTTTCTTTCTACGAACTAATTCTTTCTTCCTGTACTATATCCTTATTGCAATCTTCCTCTTATTTATTACCACCTCTGAATTAACTACTTTTATGAATCCGGTGTCCGTCTTGTTGTGTTAATGAGGTATGGCAACTTTCACCGATGCATAAATGTGCCTGGTCCTACGTTGTAGCTGACTGACTTACTGATTGGTTTACCAACAAAGTGTATTTAGAAATCCCCATATTGTGAATTAGAAGAACACATATATAAGCGAACAATATTGTTTTCAATTAGGTTTTCATTAGGTTTTACTGTAATAAACAATAATAATTATGTGCATATATGAAATTATTAAACCAATCAAGGCGGTTTATGAGTCTGTAATAATAGTGGAATAAATGACATGAAATAAACATAATAAGTAGAAAGTACAAATTGATAGTGCGATGATGACAAGTGTATTAGTTGTGATCAGAATAACAAAGGCTTGAATCAATGTCTCATAATTCGAAATAAGTCAATGACTTGAAAAAATATAAATGCTGAAATAACATTCATAAAAACTATAAAATTACTTGATAAGAAGTATTCAGATAATTGGACAATGGAGCTTATATTTGATTGGTATATCCATATAAATATAATCGTATATTAGAGTGAAACCTGGTGAGGATTTAATTTAAAGTATATTTTTACTGTTTCTTTCAAATTATATTCCTTTTCATTTAATTTTCAAGGATCACAAATACTATTTCAGCTCTTTTGTTAATTCTTCTTATTAATTTATGGAAATCTAATAGTCATTTTGTTGTATTCAAAGTTACCTTTGTATTGCTATATTTAAATTTTAGCCACCTCCATGTCAAGTTCTACGTTTCAATCTGTTATATGATATTTTCCCGATTGAAGAGGAATTCCCTCAGGTTAGACTTTTCTATCTGTTTCTACTACACTTAGTATTGTGTTGTTGATTGTGATGATTACTGGGTTTCACAATCACTATTAATCCCAACTGAGGAATTGTGATAAACTGGCAGGTCTCAATCATATACAGCTTTGATTCGTATCTCGGGGTCTTCTCATAAATTGACCATCTTCGCTTTTACTCCATTCCATCATCGGCAAAGTATGCCCGATGTGGAAGTCACTAGGATGACATTCATAACACATCTCCAAACCACCGAAGCCAGTATTTCAAGATGTCACCAAGTGAGTTATTGTCACTGTGCCTGAACACCGAACCTCCACATTATTAATATGGTACTGCCACTGGATATCAGCAATTCTTCGGAAACAGCGATGATCGAAACATAATCGTAGGACATCTTCAATTCGGAGAGACCAGGTTTCACAAGTATGGTACAGAATTGGTCTCACCGACGCGTTGTAGATCCAAATTCTGACATCTAGACGAATATTACGACAACTCCAAAGGTGCTCCAGATTAGAATGAGTCTATTTGCCTTTCACTGTATGTTGATTGATCTAATTACACCACCACCAAAACTTTCACAGCTACCTAGATAAATGAATATTTTTATTACTTCTAACGGATTACCACAAAGAATGTGTAAGCATTGGCTCCTACGGGTATTGCAGAAGTACTTTACATTTAAAAGATGTGTAGTGTATACCGTAGCTTATCCTTCAATTGTTTAAATATTTTTACTTTTATTTTTCAGTATTTTACTGTTCGTTCATTAGATCTACTCACACAATATGTATTCATTGAATTACTGGAGTTGTTAGATTTAAACTGGAAACCATATGGAGCAAAGGAGAGCTGTAATGTGATACATTTAATGCCAAGATTTATACGTATTTTGTCAAATACTGCTACTACTACCAATGATAATTTTTCGATTACAAATACTGCCACTACTACTAACAATAGTATTTCAGTAGATAACAGTAAAGAACATAATATCGAGTCAAATAAATTAATCGTTTGTATCGATGATAGTAGTGATAATAATACAGTAATTGGGGAATTACTACCCGTTCATGTAATAATGCGACACTGGTTAAAAGAGGCACTGACTCCGGTAATTAATATGATGGAATTATCTTCAATACAGCGTATGACTACAATTGAATGGTCAAATCATATCGCTAATTTACGAGGCACATTAGCTTGCTTTCCAGGCAAAGTAAGTTGGTTATTGATCGAATTTAAATCAGTCGTTGTTAAGATATGTACATGCTTTTATGTAGCTAATTTGTGATAATTTTTACGGAATGTGTTGGGACGGCTCCCAAAAAGCACGATGAAGCTTCCAGAGGCTCTAAAGGAGACGAAGATATTCCATCCAATCATAACCCAATAGAACCTTCTAAAATATCAACGTGGCATGCCTTTATTGGACAGTTGTATAACTTTCCTACTTGCGGATTATAATGATGTTATAGCCTATTATAAGAACTATAAATACCCCTGTTTTTGGGCACATTTTCGACTTCTCTTGCTTCTTCCGTCTCTTAATTTGTGATTATCAGGTTCTACACGTTTGATCGCTGATATTTGTATGCCGTATTCTGCCGTAATCAAGTATAAGACATAATAGAATAGATGGGTTGTGGCTATCAACGAAATTCGGAACGCACATTTCGTCTTTTTTAGGACTTGTTATCTGAATCCACCTTCATACCAATGTTGATGTTCACACTAAAACTTTTTAGGTACATCCAGCTGAAGAGTTCGAAATAGGATGAGATGCACGTCCTCAAATCCACTGCTAGATGTGATCTATCTATTCTATTCAACTACTCAATAGGATTATTGAGACCATGTCGTAGTAAAAATCAAAGTCCAAAATAGAGGAGAAACATATATTTCATTGACCTATCCTATCATTTGGATTGTATACTGTTACTGACTAGTAAATGTGTTCCGATAACTTATTACTTTTCTCAACTCCCTCTCATTGTGTGCCTTTAATTTTAATATTGCAGAAACCATCAACTATACGCATAGATCAATTAGATCGTCAATCTGTAACAGGTCAATCAAATGAAACCATATTAATTTATCCACTCATAGTGCACATGACTTATACACCAATGAAATTAAGTTTAACGCGTGAACCAAAGTATAAATCTGTACTTAAAAACTTTATGAAATTACAATATTTAATGATGAATAAGCCAAAAATTAGTACTTCTGATCGTGTACAGTTAGTACAATTAGCCAGTGAATTAGAAGAGATGGAGCATTCTGGGTAAGTCCTGTTTCGATCGTTAATGTAATGGGTTTGTGGTGATTGTTAACATTTATAGACTAAATAATGAACTGACTAACTTTGCTCAAGCAAGCATTGAGAACCAAGAAGCACCGAAAAGCTGTTTTCCAACTGTTTTTTGTGAACTCACCGTATCCAGTATCCTGGTTTAAGGGCCTAACTTATTATTTTTATTCTCTTACTTCGCTGCGTAAACGGAGTGGTTAGGGCTTTTCCGACAGAGGCTAAAAGCTGTGGTCGTATGAGAACATTTTTCGAGGACAAGAAAACTTACCCCACCCCCTGTCGTACCATGATATCTCAAAGTTTATTAATTCGATAACTATGTTTGTTGTCTTCTAAAATCGATATTTCATTTAGAGTTTTTTAATGCAACAATCCAAATCAGGTATTTTTCAAAGTAAAAAAAGTATTCAGATTATATTTTCTTAAACAGTTGCATATAACAACACTTGGCTGTTATGGTAGGGATTTTAAACATCTGAAGGTCATTTCACAACTTGTTTTTACAACAGATAGCGTCCCTTTATTATCATAAGATTTGGAGTTTTTCTATTTATCCGCATTCCTTGTACAGTAAAATCAAGTTGGGGTCGCTTAACAGATAAAACAACATGTATTCGGTTACATGCTCTAATTCCCCCTCCTCATTCGCTTCGATCTAGGCAATCAAGATTGGTATTACAAACTACCTGGTAAAACACTTATGACTCAAAAGTATTATGTACAGATGAACACGTGTACTTGTTGAATATTCTCTGTCTGGTGGAATGAGAATATATAACACATATAGTGCTGTATTCGTTGGGAAGCTCATTCAAACTCCAAACTATTGTAGACAGATTGGTTGATTGAAATAGTAAATAGCATAAAAAGATTTTAAAAATGTGTCACAATTAATTTTATACCTAAATTAATCAATCTAGTAACTATTTTCCAATTATTTTACAATCTTGTTATTTATTACCTCTAATGATAAATATCTGTCTCATTTTTTCTAGGGTACATCGACGTGAAGTTACTGTAGAGATTAGTTGTGAAGGCTTTTATCGAACTGGAATACGACCAGATATACCACAATATGCATTGAATTTAGTCTCATTAATAGCTCACCTACGTTTTCATAAATCGTTGGAAAGTTTGGAGAATCGTTTGGGATATACATTTAACGATAAGTCTTTACTACATGTAAGTTTCTGTTCTGCTGGTCTTTATGTGTGTATGTATATATGTACGTATGTTTGGGAACACGTACAACATAGAACATTATTTTATATTTTATTGTTGTATATTTAATTCACACAAAATTTGGTTTAAGTGAACTGAGCACCAAAATAGTATACATCATACAAAATAAAAAGCTAACATTATGAAGGGATAATGAAGAGGAGGGGAGTGCAATCAAAAGAATAAGTGATCACAAACAGTACAGATAAGTTATTTAAAATTACAATCAGGGAAGACCTCTTTTAGTTTAGAGAGCTTTACTTTTATGAAGAGTGTAAAAAAATACAGTAGGACAACTACCAGCTTCTATTCTAAAACATATTTGATAATACTTCAAGCTAATCAAGTTGCACCTTATCTGGGATCTCAACCAGCGAGTTTTGATGAACCAATAGATCCCTGTTATATACAGCTTTAATTTATACCACGGTCCTATGTTGTAAATTGACAGCCCCTCTGTTTCTTCTACCCTATATCGGCATCGGCAATTAGTACTTGATGTGGAAGCCTCTGGAATGACATTCGTAAAACATGTTTTAGCTATTGAAGCTGGTCTTTCAAGTTGGTGGCATTAATTGGATTATCGTCACTCTGCCCCCGAATACATATTCCCGAACATCCACATTAGCATGATTTGGGCACTGGATATCAACAATTCTTCGGAGTTAGTGACGACTGAACACAAAGCGTTGGCAAACATTTTCACCTTGGAAGGACTAAGTTTCAGAAATACGGAACAGAACTGCCATCACAGACGTATTTTAGACCCGACCTTTTACATGCAGATTGACAAAACAATGGCGATAGAAATAGCTCAGATTGGAAGAAGTCTAAATTGTGACATAACTATGTAATCATGAATGTTATATACTGTTTCCCTCTTTTTGTTTGTTTTTATAGCAATCCCTTACTCATCCATCATATCGGCGAACAAATTTCGGTACAAATCAAGATCATTTTCAAAATTCATTGGTTAGTTGCGGTCCACGTATTTTAGAATATGGTGATAAGCTAGAATTATATAAGGCATGGCGTAAAAAGGGTTTAACTAAAATGATACAAGTTATGTCATTTTTACCAAAAATGCATGAAGAACGATCGAATATTTATGGGAATGAACGATTGGAATTTTTAGGCGATGCAGTTGTTGAAGTTATCTCCAGGTAGTGAGTTAAATAATTTGAATTGTTGGTTAACTTCAACTCGTAAATCTTTGAAAACCAAGGGCGTGGAGCCTCAGGACTATTTCTGTTCTATCCGATTTGTGTGAGATATTCCAACAGTGCATGCCCATGACCTCCACCCAATAAGTAGTTATAAAAGTAGGATGGAACAGCTGTCTATCCCCAGTGCTCGTTGGTTTTCAGTGGTTTGCCTGCTGAGGTTAATCTGTATCAAAAACTTTCAAATTTAGTCAGTTGACGATTTTACATAACATCTATTTATTTGGTTATTATTTCATACGTTTTTTATTCCTTCTTTTCATTTATTCTGCTTGGAATTTATATTCCCTCTCTGTCTCTCTAATATCTGACTTTTTACTTTCATCTGGACTTCTTTGTTACTTTCCTCTTAGTTTGTTAATATCCTGTCCAGACACTTCATTCTTTGGTTTCATTTACACTCTTTATTGAACTTTACTTTTCATATTTAACAATTTACTACAATTGATATTATCATGATTATTATATTCCGCTACGTTCCAAACCTTGATGATTTCCTCATTGTAATTGGGTTAACTTGAAATAAGACATGTTGGGTTGCTATTCATCTGTCGCGTCAGGTCATATGTTGTTTATGTGACTTACTTATTGATTGCTTATGAAGATTATTATTGTTGTTTAGATAACTGGTCGTTGTCTGTTAATTGTTCAATAACGATTCGTTTTTCATGCTAGCTCACTGAACTGATGGCTTTGAGTTCGATTTTTTACGGGACTGTGTATACAAACTACTGGAAGGTAGGTGTCCAATAATACTAGGACGAAATAATTGTGTTCTGTACTCCATGATTTTCAACATTACATCTTAATCGATGTCATTCCGTGGCGCGCAATCACTCAGAAAGTGAATTTATTTTAACAAGACTCTTTCATCTAAATTATTAAGTCAGCTCACTAGTTATTTACTTCTAAATGTTCCTGAAATGTGAGGTGATCGATGGAGTCCAGGTATCTCAGGAGTAAAGCAGTTCTTACCAGTGGCATTGGATGGTGGGGTAGCCTCGCTGTATCGTGTATTAATTGAGGTCAAGATTTTATTACTAGACACCGGTTCTCTGATTCTGGTGGTCTAGTATTCGTTTCAAGACATAAAAGTCATGAATCTGATTGCTAGTGTGGTCCTGGATGCATACTGCTGAAAAAACCCTCTTTGTCTTAATAGCCATGAATTTTTTTCTTAAGAATATTGCTTTTAGATAGTTTCCTTTTTCTTCCTTTTACCCTCTTTTTCCCTTTTTCTGTTTATATGTATCTGTATGTCCGTTTGCAGTATCCACTTATTCTTCATGTTCCCTGAATTGTCCGAAGGTCATTTGGATGCGTACCGTCAAGCCATCGTTCAAAATCAACATTTAGCTGAATTAGCTGTTGTAAGTTTAATCATTGAACACTTAATGATTTAATCACCCAGTCATAAACGACAGAATTCAGTACATGTGTTCATCAATTCAAGTTGTTAACATGGCGAGCTGAAACTATCAAGATAAATCTAACAGTAGTAAGAGTAATAGTCATGGTAGTGTTACTGGTAGGAGAAAACACTAGGCATATACAATATAGTTCGAGAATAAACAGCCAATTTGTCTAATAAAAAATATAATTATCTTCAGATAGAGAGGGAATTCATATGCGTCATTACGATCGATGAGACATGTCACCTAAACTTTTCTAACATTTGGTGACGGTATTTGAGCAAACTCAAATCAGGTGAATTTCACCTACTATCATCACCCAGCTAACTACTCTTATTGTGTGAGTGAGAGAAAGTAGTGATTGGTTGTTTACGTAGATAGACTGGTAGACAATCCGATAGGTATTAGGTGTGTCATGTATATATTTCCCTACCTCTTGTACGTACTTGATTGTCTGGTAAATCACGTGTTATTGATTTGAGTTGTGTTAACGCCTGGAAGAATAATGCTGGCTGGGTATCCAGCATGGAGCACGAGTGGATCGTTTATGCAGATAAATCGTTCAGTGCTCATCCTAAACAAATTAGTGTTCATTCAGGGAGAAATCTGAGCGTTATTTTAACTCGATAGAATGATACCAAATATATTAATGTATATTCTTCCAATTACATCGGAACGGTTGTTGTCTAAAGTGATAATTTGCTTTATAGGATTGATCCTCCAATGTTAAGTGAATGTAATTCAGAAGAAAAAAAACTATTATCCAACTGAGTTAGTAATATATATATTACAAAGAGAATCGAAACAGTAATTTATTTATGTACAAAATATCCAACTACTATTTTTGTACCATCAGATAAATATCAATAAAAATTAAAGTTACAAACTAACTAGTGATATTAGTGCCTCAATTAATAACAGGAAACTTAAATTTGGAACTTGTCTCTCAGAATATAAACAATCACATAACACCAAATTGTTATACTTATCCAAAAAGGGTGAGTTTAAATTAACATCGCAGATAGTAAGTTGTCACCTAGGTGCAACATTTATGTGATAATCACTAAAAATTAATATATTCATTGAGTAGTTATTGAGAAAATTGTACTGAACATGTGTTTTTTCCGACTTGATTTTTGTTTCCTTTTAACTGCTCAATAGTTTCAAACTCGTACATTCGAATCAATTAAATCTTGAACGATTTTGATTTGTTTCCTATTTGTGAGCATTGTATAGCACACATCGTACATTTGAATAAGTGAATATCTGATTCCATGTATCCTATGTCTACTTTTATTTCGTTCGATATTTAAGAATAAATTTCTCGTAATTTTTTAGCGTCTTGGCATTCATAAATACTTGTTGTATACTCATAGTGTAGACTTTTGTTATGATTCTACATTTATCTACGCTCGATCTGATGCATTTGAAGCTTTAATGGGTAAGTTTTTTCATGTTGATTATTGATGTTGTATTTATTCATAGAGTTGTGTGTGTGCTCTCAATTAAAAAAGGGCCTTGAACAGCTTGAATTTTTCGGGGATGTAACTTTGTAGATAATACATCATTAGGTATATCAGCATCTCTGATCTATTTCAAGCGACAGTTGGTAATGACAATGTAAATAGTGAATGCAATAATTCAAAAAAATTCCATCAAATTTATATTATCAGCAAATGGTATTTCGATTCAAGTCTTAACAATTGACAAGATAAAAGAAAAACAACAATATGTACGGTGAAAAACTGTAGAGTAATTTTTGATTTTTTCGGATATCTTTATTCCCAACCATCAACAATACAAATTTTCGATCTCTGAATTAGTAATTATAAGACAGTTTTTTAGGGTTGATCCGGGTTGAATTTTTTGGACATGATCCATTTTTGAACATTAGGTACATCTACTGACGAGTCTACTGTTAATTAAAATTCACGACTTGCAGTAAAATAAGTTAATATAAGTCAACTATGGTCTATAATGTATGTGTGTATATGTACAAACTAATTGTACTATCTATTTGTGTCCAAACTGAAGTAAAGTGGGATTAGGACCCACAGCTTACTAATGTTTGGTAGTTAATCACTAAACTAACCCCTACAGCATGGTTCGCGAATGTTGACGATAGGCTTTTTCTTTCACTGTTTATTTGTATCATTCTAAATAATTTTGTCGCCTTCTATAACTTTCTCTTTTTTTCTAAAAAAAAAAAGCTCATTTCGTTCCCGTGATAACTAGTCACTATCTGATTGAATTATCTAATTCCCCCCATTTTCAAAATAGTTACAGACACTACACTTAATATTCCTGCAAATATATTGTTAACTTTAAAATAGAACTCATCAATCTATTCAATGTCTAACGTTCCTTCTCTCTGTAGTTTCAATCGACAATGATCACGCTACAATTACCCATAAGAAAGAATGGTTGAATAATTTAAGCTGATTGGTTAGACAATGGTATAAACGAGCCAACAAGATCGATTATTCAGACCATATAACAGCATAAATTAAACTGTGTTGCAATTAGACTTCTGTTTCACCTAGAAATAACTCAAAATGTTATTATTCGATCAATACAGATTTATAATTCCACTTTTCATTATGTCAGCTGTACTTTTTTATTAGTAATTGGTTCAATGTAACTAACCAAGCACTTGATCGCTCATTAAGGAGGAAGAATGTATTTGTAAATCTCAGCGAATGAATTTGAAGTAAATCTAACCTTTCGCCTGGCAAATACAAATACATTGTTTCTCTTTAATGTCTCACATTAACTCGGCACCCAAATAGTGTGAAACTATTCGATCAATTGTAGACGAAAAATGCTTGGTCGCTTATAATAGTGATAATGATAATATTTCGCATACTTTTGATTGGTTACTAATTACTATAAGTGCATTGGTTAATTATACTATAATTAATGATTATTTGTTACATGTTACATGGTTTTTATTGTGCTTTATATGGTTAGTGGTATAATTGTGAATCTTTCGTTGTCCGCTATGGACAACTCTTGATTGTCATATTGTATATCAAATGTTTTACTCAAAATAATGTATATATATATATATATATATATATATATATATATATATATATCTTAGCTGCAATCACTTTAGACGCTGGACTTGATATTGTTGATAGAATATTTGGTGCTGTTCTATTTGGTGATGATGAAAGAATTCATCGTGTTTGGGTACAAATCCCATTGCATCCATTACAGTCACAATGCCCTGAAGGTGATCGATCATGGGCAACAAAAGTTCCTATGCTAAAGGTATTCACTCCATTATTGTTGTAATGTTCATTTTATGTTAAACTATATCTTCAATAAACATCCATTGTTGAGAAACTTTGATCAGTCAGTCAGTCATAAGCAACGTAGGATCTGCCATATATGTACATTTGTTCAAGTTGTCACATCGTATCAGCGCCATAGCCTAATAAAATCATTTAGTCAAATCCCAGACTAATAGAAATAGTAACAATATCAGTGGTAAGTAAAAAGAGTAGACATACGAAATAAACAACCTTGATACATCCTATCTAATCACATAACTTTCATGTTATAATTACTCTGATAGATCAATTTTATAGGCTCATATCATCACATGTGTGTGTGAAAACTGACAAGGATAAGCAGACTATTTAACCCGACATATATGTAAAGCGTAACTCGGAATTTCGAATCACTGATTA